TAACTATGCTGATATACTCGTTCCAGAAATCAAACATCTTCGATCGGGACTTCTCTTCTTGTCTGAAGACTTCAAAAAGTTCCATCAAAGTAAACAATTCGGACATAGTAGCCTCCGCACTCTGTGGAACGTGATCTTTATTTTGAACAGCCAAACGAAAATATTTGATTGAATCAGTAATATGCTCTTCATCTACAATTTGCTCCTGGGATTCCATACCACCACCGTTTAACCAATGTAGAAATGATTGCCACATCAGACGAAATAGTGCTTCCATGACCAGTTTGTGCCAGTTTGTGCGTACGACTTTCTTTTCATTAACGCCATTACGCTACCAGATCCATACGCCCCAGATTCTATTAATACATCCTCCAAGCCAGAGTTCTGATATTTCTTTCCCAAGACTGCAAGAAAATTCAATGCAATATGGAAGCCACCCATACGAATAACGGTGTCTGAGAACTCTTCGGGAAATTTCCATTGGATTTGTTTCGCTTTTGCATAGATCGCCAGATCAAATGTGATGACCATGTCTCTCTGTTGAAGGCTTGAGCAGATATTTTGCGCTTTCTTCAAAACCGTGTATATCATGCTTTTAATAGTTCGGTGGAAGAACCATTTATCATTGGACAGTAACCAATTACCGTAGGCTGTGCGGTACCAGGAAACAACATGGAGTTAAATCCACTCCAACTTCGAATGGGCTGGTCAGTTTCCTCTTTTGTGACCTCGGCGATATCAAACAATTTCGTTGGGGACATACGTCCAAGTGCCCACGTCAAATCCATCCTGCATGATGATATGTATGCGTCAGTTGTGGTGTGAAAAGACTCTGTACCAATTTGACCGAGAAAATCTGTGACAATCGGGCGTTTTCCATAAGCTGAACATTCCAAATTTTCGTCACAGCTGTTAACTTTCGTCAGCGACCTTTTCTTCTTGGTATGATCGGCAAGCACTTCTTTCCGTGGCATTGGGCCAAATGGCTTCTGCTGATAAACAACTAGTGTTGTAGCATGTGTTGTATCCTTTCCGTCAAGCGTCTCCTCGTTTATGTCGTTGTTATCTGCCGCAAACTGAATAAACGTATCTGGTGTTATATTAGAAGGTATGACAGTGCCATCACGCTCCGACTTTGCCATAGACTCTCTTGCTAGAGCAGTGTCTACAGTTTCTATTTCGCTGTAGCATGAACAGTGACCCATACGATTGAGAATGGAAACTACAATCCTGGACAAAACGTTGTGGACAACCCACAGAATTTGAGTATGGTCCAATACCACGATACGACACGAATCGTGGATTTGGTAACTACATTGTGCAGATGGTGAATTGGTTCACTGATGGTGAATTGGTTTCACGATCCGTAAACCATATGGACGATCTGTGCAGATGGTGAATTGGTTGACGGATGGTGGAAGGGGTTTCACGATCGGTGAATGGTGCACATGGTGCCAGAGGGTAGACCCCAAAACACTGACGATCCGGGCGGACGGTGCGCATGGTGAATTGGTTGACGGATGGTGGAAGGGGTTTCACGATCCGTGAATGGTGTACATGGTGCCAGAGGGTAGACCCCAAAACACTGACGATCCGTGCAGATGGTGCGCATGGTGAATTGGTTGACGGATGGTGGAAGAGGTTTCACAATCCGTGAATGGTGCACATGGTGCCAGAGGGTAGACCCCAAAACACTGACGATCCGTGGAGATGGTGCGCATGGTGAATTGGTTGACGGATGGTGGAAGGGGTTTCACGATCCGTGAATGGTGTACATGGTGCCAGAGGGTAGACCCCAAAACACTGACGATCCGTGCAGATGGTGCGCATGGTGAATTGGTTGACGGATGGTGGAAGTGGTTTCACGATCCGTGAATGGTGCACATGGTGCCAGAGGGTAGACCCCAAAACACTGACGATCCGTGCGGATGGTGCGCATGGTGAATTGGTTGACGGATGGTGGAAGTGGTTTCACGATCCGTGAATGGTGCACATGGTGCCAGAGCGTAGACCCCAAAACACTGACGATCCGTGCAGATGGTGCGCATGGTGAATTGGTTGACGGATGGTGACAGTGGTTTCACGATCCGTGAATGGTGCACATGGTGCCAGAGGGTAGACCCCAAAACACTAACGATCCGTGGGGAAGGTGCGCATGGTGAATTGGTTGACAGATGGTGAAAGTTGTTTCACCATCTGTGAATCACACACATGGTGCCACAGGGTGAAATATGGGTAAAATTGTAGACGGTTGGTAGTACTTTTTGTTGAAATTGAGTGGAGACAAAAATATTTACATACACATGTGTTTTGTTATCTGCGTTTTTATGGCGGCATTAACTTTCGCGTATAATTTATACAGAGTATTTGTTGACCTAGTAGACACTTAACTGTGACGATGGTAATTACGATAACTACTATTGTGGTTTGTTGGCAGAGAATAAAAATTTAAAATACATAATTTTAATTTGATCGTACCTGCTCTGGTAAACTTTATAAATATTGAGAGCATTCAACGAATTATCCAATTTGGAACGTTGAGAATAAATATTTGTTTGTATTTGTGTATTCTTAAATGATGAATGTCCATTGCACTGCACCGAGTGGGCATGTTTATTTATATATACATCTTTCGTTCTCACAAAGACACATTACCGGTAGAAGTTGTTTTCCTTGGTTTGTGGAGAATGGATATCAAACTGACAAATCAAACTCGGATCAAAATTATTTGGCGATCGTGCGATTAAACATTTGAAATATGGGTATCCTAAGAGCTCCGTCACACGTGTAGTTTGACATTAGCAGCCCTTCTGAAACACTTTAATGAAAGTATAGTTCACAAAATTCATATTTTCTCTTACCTCTTAACATCTGTTTTAATGCAACTAGCTCTGTAGGCACGAGCAAAATCTAGTGTTGATGTAAATATCCATTTAGTTCATGTTTCCCCGGTGAAAATATAGTCTATTCCAAAGCTCATTTCGACGTACTTTAGCTTTTCAGAAACCGCTGGCCTTCCTCAGTGAGATTATCAACTGTTTCAGAAACATATTTGATCGTAAACAGTTAAAATATTCTCCGAAAGTCTATATTTTTGTTCTTCGACGCGAAAATGGCAACTCAAGAAGAAATGAGCCGCTATTTTTGGTCAGCGTCAACAGATTGCTTCAGATCATGAGAATCCGCACGATGTGTGAAAGGATTAATTGGTAACCATAGTTTTGTGTCAAAGTTGGTGAACTGATGACATCTATTAATTATCGAACCTTGCTACTTATTTCGTAATAGTATCTTTGAAACAAAACTTCTTTTAATATTAACTGCTGAATTAGTTTCTTTAATATTTCGACTTCATATTACACATTGCAAATTGTGGTCGTCATATACAAACAAAAATCGCGCGCCAAATTCGAATATTGCACGCCAACACACTAGCATAATTCGAGGCGCATCAATGGACGATGTTCAAGCGAAAGTTTGCGCACAACGTAGATGATAAGAAAAATTGGTATGCATACAAATTGATACAATAAGTCGCTTCTTAGTAAAACATTCAAGTGTTTTCCATCAGAGATTAAACGGGTCAAACTTGAAGACTTGCGAGACGACGAAGGTCGCCAAGTATCGCATCGCCGTTTCTTTGCCGGGGTGACTGAATACGTTATAACTGGCACAACAGATGTTATATACTCGACGCTTGGGGCAAGTAAGGCATTCGAATTAGTGCTATCAGAGCAAAGTCGGCTGCTGCTATTACCATGGTTATAATTGAACAAACCTTATTTCTGCGCGAATTGTACTGATTATATATATATCAACAGACCGCAAACGGCAAACAGTGCACGAAATCTTCTTGTTTTAAAATCGGTAGGCAAACGCCAAAGCTAGCGCAAATTTGTGTTTATATTATAAAGACTAATTTAGTTCAGAAAGATGCAGTCATCTTTTGCTGACAGGTTTAGAAGATGTAGTCATCTTTGCTATAATCAGTTGAACCTAAAGTTATAATATAGTAACACATCTAATTATGCATGAATCATTTTATATGATATTGCGGTTGCAGCTGATACGGTAGCTATATAGGTCTGTCATAGTTATAATTCAACAAGCCGCAGGGCCTTTTTTAAGGATTTTCCCGTGGGGGGGCATTTTTTGAAAAGGGACCTTTCTGTGAGATAATATATTACAGGGAGATAGCAATGGCTGAAGGCCACGTGTGCACCGAACATACCATGCGCGCATGTATGAGGGGGGGGGGGTACTCCCCCGGAAAATTTTTGAAATTTGAAGCACAGAAATGCCATTTCCTGCATTCTGAGCACCCAAATGCGCTCCAAAATGTATACTAACTATACTTGTATTTAAAATAAAAGAAGGAAAAAAAACACACAAAAAGTTAAAAAAAAAATTAACCATAATTTATCATTACTAATTAGAGGAGGATCCCGATGGTCACGTGTGTGGGGGTGTACTCCCCCAGAAAATTTTTGAAATTTGAAACATGGAAATGCCATTTCCTGCATTCTGAGCATCCAAATTTGCTCTAAAATTTATGCTAACTATACTTGTATTTGAAATAAAAGAAGGAAAAAATGCACAAAAAGTAAAAAGAATATTAACCGTAATTTATCATTATACTTATTAGAGGGGGATACCAATGGCTGAAGGCCACGTGTGTGGGGGCATAATCTCCAGAACATTTTTCAAATTTGAAACCTGGAAATGCTCTTTCATGCCTTCTGAGCAACCAAAAAATAAAAAATTATTAACAATAATTTATCATTACAGTTAGTGGTAGAAAAACGTAACAATTTAGATCGATTTTGTTAAACAAGGACAAAGGATAAAGCCTAAAACTTACTTTCCGTTTATTTATTTGTTATTCTTCGCTGTTTCGTTGGTATACATTTAGGAAAAAGGGACTTTTCCTGGGGGGGGCAAAATGTGATTTCGTGGGGGGGCACAAGGGGGGACTGGGGGGCAAATGCCCCCCCAGCTTGTATGTTAAAAAAAGCCCTGCTTCGTGCTCAATTATTCATAGTTTTAATACACGCGATTTGAAATCACATGTTTTGTAAGAAAGAAGCTAGCAATATATTGAATATTCATTCATGTGCGAAATGAGTTTGACAGATTCTGAGTATATAAAATAACGTGTCCAATAAAGTGAACTTGCAACTGTTAAGACGTGTTGAGAGTCCCTGTTCGTCGACTCGAATTTTCCAAATAGGCGCGCTTGTAACTTTTCCGAATGGTGCAATTTTCTAAAAGTTGGGGTGGGTGGGTGCCGGACCCCCAATACTCCCACCCCTCGCTACGGCCTTATTGTTCGAACAAACAGCATAATTGCAAAACTATTAGACGCGGATATGTAAACCTTTCGCAACATCTTCCGGTTAAACAATTTATTCAGTGCTACATTTAACAAACCATACTATTTACTAATTAGTAGCATGAAAATACAAACAAGAGAACGATGTTGTGTTTACAGTTACTGAATGCGTTCCATCTAATTGTTTTTCTCCAATGGACTAAACCAACACAGAGTGACAGCAGAAAATGACGAAAATATGCAGAACATTTTGACGAGAAAAAAATATGCGTCAGGGACGGAATATTTTACCAGTTTATTTTCTGACAAAATAATTTAGCATGAAGTACTCGTTAACTTACTTACCGTCTTGAATCATGCATTTTGCTCAAATCTTCTGAAGTACTTGCGAAATCTTAATATCAAAACTTTGTCTGCTTTATCTCAATTACTTAATTGGAATACCTGCCTGGCACTTCTTTTTGTAGAGCCGACTATTTAGTTGGATGTCATATCTTAATTGTGGTTTTTGATCGCTCGATTAAATTAAAACGCGAATACGGATGGCCGGATAGATGGCGGACGGACGCAGACTGCAGGAATTATGAGAATTACTGTCTAGATTCAGGTGGAAAGAACAAGAATTTATACCACTGTCATTGATATATGACTAAGACGCCAGATGTTGGGCCTTAAGAGTCGTATATGCATGAGATATAACCGCAATTTAATCACGCACGTACGAAACAGGACCATTTGTTCTATTTGTTCTATTTGTGGCTCCACTTATTGTCATTAATACATTTTGTTCAGTTCTTCAGTTTACATAGTGGGCACATCTACAGTTAGATTTCAATCTTTCTGGCAACCTTAATCATGAAACTTAGAACCGATACAACGAACAAATGACAGTGCTCTCGTTGACCTTAACAAAATATATACCACCATGCATGCCAATAGGTGATTAGAATTTATAATACTCCAGTATGTAATAAAGTTAATTATTTTGCAACTTTCATATACTCTCCGTTTTAAACAGGACAAAAGGCCATTTCTCATCCCATATTTCTTAACAACCATGTAGTCCCAGCCGTTATATTAATTTCAATGGTCCCAGCTGAGTTTGCTTAGCCTTACTAGTAACCATCTATATAGTGAACTGGTAACCATCTTTGACTTTTTTAGTTCCTGGTACGTGGATGCAGTGATGTCTACAAGGAAAAGGCTAGTTATTATAATTGACCAAAGTGGATCGATGAAAGCAAAACAGCGAATGGTTTTAGCTAAGGATGCAGCTTTAACTGTTCTCAATACACTGACTCCTGATGACTATGTGAGTATATCTTTCTTTTTCTTTCAATTGTTCGTATATAAAACAGCGGCCTAAAACAATGACGAACTAATTCAGAGCATTACAAAAACAACATATTAAATATGAATGAACTCTAATTAGTTAAAACAACAACGACAACAACAACAACAACAACAACAACAACAACAACAACAACAACAACAACAACAACAGCAGCAACAGCAACAACAACAACAACAACAACAACAACAACAACAACAACAACAACAACAACAACAACAACAACAACAACAACAACAACAACAACAACAACAACAACAACAACAACAGCAACAGCAACCACAACAGCAGCAACAGCAACAGCAACCACAACAGCAGCAACAGCAACAACAGCGGCAACAACAGCAACAACAACAGCAACAACAGCAACAATAACAACAACAACAACAACAACAATAACAACAACAACGATTTTTGTTATGCCAATTTTCAGGTGACGTCCGTGTTGGCAAAAGACACAAAAACGTTGCTTACTACCTAAGTTTACCGCCTGGTTTATCACTTGCAAGTTATTGAAATAATTTTGCACATATCTTCATTTTCCAGGTAACAGCCATTGCATTTTCAACTTCACCTTCATTTCCTCCGGGATGTTTTGGAAGCAGTCTGGCCAAGGCTACTGCTTCAAACCTACAAGTTCTTAGGGAATGGATTCGCAACCTACAAGCGTCAGGTAAGGTTCAAACAATTGTTAATAACATGGTTAAGTCTATGTTGTATGTAAGTATAAGTAGGTCAAGAGGCCTTTGGTCGGTATAAGCCGAACAACGAGGGTTTGTAGTCCATTTTCGTTTGGCGCTAGACCTTGGAAAATGGATTGCCGAGGGGGGAGCGCCACACCTTCCATCAGCTCCCTGAACTTACTTCACTGGTCAAATGACCTGAATGTAGTTGTGGTGGCTACTACATCAGTTACTTCAACAACACTGCAATCCCTGATTATTTTGACTCAAACACTTGAATAAAATAATGCCCCCACAGTAACTCAAAATTTTAAGTAAAATTACTAAAATTTATGAGCAAATTTAATTTTTTGAGTAAAGATTTGCTTTACTAAAACGAATTAGTAAAGTCGCTCATTTTACTCAAGTGTTTGAGATAAAATGTTTTGCAGTGGACTAGATTTATGCAGTACAAGTAATATCCAGATTATTTTTAATCAAGTTAAATATCCAGATTATTTTCCCACAAGGGGAGTAATTGTATAAAAGATGATTTTTGTTTGTCATCCGCTGTGAATCTGTGATGTAACCTACACGCCAATATAATTGGAAGGTCATGTAGAATATTGCTTCTACTGTACGATTTTGTAAGACGCGATTTGATTTCCTTGAATAAGTTACTAAATTAATATTTTAATTAATATATACCTAATATTTTAGGAACGACTATGTATTCCTTGGCATTTGAAACTGCGTTTGATTGTTTTGTCAATTCGTCCTCCACGGATAAAGTAAGTATATACTGTCATACGAGAGGCAGATTGCTTTCTTCCATCAGTAAAACTCATTTACATATTTAGAGATTGAAAATATGACAGACGTTCCTAACTATATATGCGAATCTTGTTTACCTATTCCTTGGCTTGTAACTATAGAGTTTATTAACTGGATTCTCTATAGGAAACTAGGGGAGTGTCCAATTGTTATATACTCAGTTATGTACTATGCAGATTTCCACCGTGTTTTCTCTCACCATTCTAGGGAAAGAACATCATTTTGTTTCTTACTGATGGTGAACCATCGGACGATCCTAGCACGAAGATATACCCATCCTTAACTCAAGGACAACAACAAATGGTAACTTCCATTTTTAGATATTTTATGATTATACAAACATATCATAACTGGTATAATGATTTTATCGCTGTATTTTCTATTCTCACAACTTGTCTTAAGAAAACAAGTTGTGGTCTATTATGCTGCGAGATTCCTGGATTCGACCCACTTATACGATAAATAAAAGATATAACTGATTTTATTTTATCATTTAGAATAACAGTGTGAGCATTCTGGCGTACGGTCTCGGTACGGGTATAAGTAGGAATAGAAATGCCAAGGAAGTTTTGACAAATATTGCAACGGAAAATAGAGGACATTTTACTATCATTAAAGATGGAAGTAAAGAAAAGTTGAACTCAGCTTTTGGAAGTTATTACCAGTATTTCGTCACAGCCATTGGTATAAGTATAAACTTACTTGTTTTAAAACTTAGGTTAACTCTTTTGAAATTATTCAAACTTCTCATTTGTCGGACGCTGGCTTATTGTACATAGGCAGGAAATGACGGGACCATTCTTAATTAGTGAATTAGAATACTTGCATTGTTTGTTTTTTAAATGATTTCATTGGACATCCCAGTGCATAGCTTCACTACGTCCCATGGTTCTCTAAACGAATAATTAAATTGTCTGCCGTTTATATTATTATGGACAGATCTACCACTGTAACCACTTGAAACTGATGGTATGAGCAACTGCTATCACCTGCTACATATATACCTGACATAACTAGTAGGTAGCTGATAGCACCTACTACTACTTCTTGCATTACTTAAACTATTTACTTGGCCAAGACCTCTTGGGCAAGTCTGAGAAACTGAATAGTGCATGTTTTTCTAGGAAACGTTGCTCTGGGTAAACAAGCAAGTCAGTCGAGTGTAATGTTAAAACAATTTCCAAATCTTGCTGTCAATGGTCGTGTTGATGGTAAATGTTCACAGACAAATTATGAGGAAAATCCTTGGTGGAGAGTTGATTTACAAGATGAATATTATATTATGGCTGTTGATATCTCAAACTGCTGCAACAATATCATGAAAAATATAGAAGTTCATGTTGGTAATAACGAAATCAGAGAATTAAACAAGATATGTGGACATATTAATGTTTTAAAAGATAAAGAAAACCACATTATTCTCTGTCCGGCTGATCTGTCAGGTCGTTATGTTCATCTGGGTGTACGAGGAAGAAATAAGAGTTTTTCAATTTGTGAAGTGAGAGTGTATCAGGTTCTAGGTAACTCAATTATTTCGTTTTTGTGGCAAGCCAAATTATAGCTAAACAGTAGTTTTCCTGTCCTATCTTCTCCTGTCCACCATGTTATCATGTTCAGTTACGCAGCATCAAAATGACGAAAGGTGTCGAACAAAACCGAGTATAAATGGATACCATGATTTTAGAACGACGATCATGTAACGGTTATTTTTAAATTTAAAGATTTTAAAAAATCTCGGTGGATGAGGTGTAATTTTGGAGCCATTCCTAGTGCTAAATTTTAAATTTTCGCATAATCACGTACAAATTGCTGGTGGGAAAATATATGAAACTGAGAATTCCATATTCCGCATCAACTTCTTAAAAATACCACATTCATGCAGTGGATCAGTAAACGAAAAATCCATATTCCATAAACAAAATGTGAAAGAATTCCCCATTCCAAAATTCCGCCGCTCACATTCCGATAAGATCCGAACATTTTAACTCTTATGAGGTATCGGCCCATGCTGCTAGGCTCCAAGCTAGCCGTCCTCCGGTCCTCAGCCCATCGAGCTGGCACACTTCGGCCCTTTGCAGTCTTTAACTCATTGAGCCGTATCAATTTACCCATTGAGCAGCTTGGTACGGCTCCAAGGTGGCCCTTCATCATGGCCATGATTGCCTTTGTATTTTCTTTATGAATCATTAATGAGAGTGTGCAAATGTTTTTATTATTTTTTGACTATAGCTCCATCTTTAACTCTTTCTATGCCTTGCACTAATGAAAATGGCACAATGTTTGGAGTCAGTGCTGTTGATATATCATTGAGTGATGTTTTCTCACAACTTATCTCGTTGTCTTATGGACAATACTCCTATGCTGTGGTCATCGATGTCAAAGGTATTTGCCATAAGGTGTACTTTGAAGTGTTCAAAACATCCCTACGTGAATGCATTCTGTCCGTAAAACCGGATCAGCATCAGTGTAAATGTATTATTAATAAGCATTCTTTTCAAGGGAGAGTATGGATTCACCCAAGATCACCAAAACCTGAAGAAAGTAGGTTGGGACCATCACTGCTGCCTTTACAAATATATGAATCTTGGGCGAACAAAGAAATCATGAAAACCATTTTAAATCAGCCTAGTGGGCACGTTAAATTGAATAAGGTCTGTACCTTTTTGCTAAATTTTTGTTCAGATACGGGGTGATTATACGTCAACTGTATTAATTAATTTGCTTTTCAGTACTCTTATTCGACAATTTCCAAGTTTTCTCAGCCAAACTCACCGTTATGCGCAGACGTTTAGGTAGCACACTTGAATTTTTTTTTTGTTTAAAAAAAAGAAAAAAGAAGACAGAATTAAACGTATCGGAGCACGAAGAAATGATATAACATAGTTACGGTTATCAAATCGGTTCAAATGAATGTTTGAAATAGATCGACTATAGTTTATGAACTATTTAAAACGCGAGCAGGAGGGAGGATATATATATATATATATATATATAATTATTCACCACCTGATGATTCCTATACGGATGAAACAGACTGTTGTGGTTTTTTGAGGTAAAACGAAAAACTATATATATATTATATTAGTTTTTCGTTTTACCTCAAAAAACCACAACAGTCTGTTTCATCCGTATAGGAATCATATAGCAATTATATATATATATATATATATATATATATATATATATATATATATATATATATATATATATATATATATATATATATATATATATATATATATATATATATATTGCCGATTGCAGCAGGAAGCAATTCCAAACAACTGAATTAGTTAGCGGGTAATATACGACTTTAAACTTACTGTGCCTACAGAAACACATGCAGATTGTAATAAAAAGTACAACTTGATATATTACACTGTAAAACCTCGAGCCATTTTAACTTTTTTAGTATGCCCCAGTGGCGGTCTGTATACGAAACTATAAACGAAAGAATACAATATAAAAGGAGTTCAACATCTATCGGTTTATGTTTACAATATTGAAGTGTATTTCCGGTCTGCGGTGATTGGTTATTATTAATTGACCTGTGACATCCTAATCGAAAGGCGGCATGCAGTCATCATAGGGATCCTTGCAGGCTCTCTTTCACCCAGACAGCCTGCTCGCAGGCTAAGAAAGTGCCGTCAGAAAATCTTACTAAAATGGCGGAGTTTGTTTTAAAACACAATTATTTCGAGTCTGACGGTGATATTTACTGCAAAAATTCCGGTACGGATATGGGAACTAAATTCGCTCCACCATATATGCATGTATTTTCATGGATATGGTTGAGACTGATTTTTTAAGCATTTGGTTACGCTATATAGACGATGTATTTTTTGTCTAGATCTGGTTAGAAGGAGAGGCCAAACTCCTGCATGCAATTTATGTCGAGACTTAATGAATTTCATCCTAATCTCAAATTTACATACGAGTATTCGCATAATAGAGTAATTTTTTTCGCTGTCATAGTTGAAAATGCTGGTGGTACTTTCATTACAAGTGTGTTTTGTACATACCTAATTTTAAGAATTTTTTATCACTGCACATTTTATGCCAAAAATTTCCGAATGACTAAGAAAATTTCCGAATATTCGGAAATTTTTGGCGACCCTCCCCCCCGTCGCCAAAAAAATTTTGGTCAGTGTACCATTTTAAGGGTCAAAAATTTTTTCAGGACATACCAAAAGCCAGATATTAACTAAAAATTGCCTGAATCTCATGATTTTCGTACAAAAAACATATACTATTATTTAATTCGATAATTTGGCAGTCATCATTTCAATTTCAATTAAATCATTCTCTTGTGTTAATTAACAACTTATCAAAGCAAATTTTATCACTGCACATTTTACATTTTCTCACTGCACATTTTACTTTTATCACTGCACAAATTGGTTATCACTGCACACTAAAATTAGGTATGGTTTTGTAAACCTACTGATTGCCACCAGTATCTTCATTTTTTAGAAATACATGCATGCAACAACCCCTCGCCTACATTCTCCGAACATTGTTTCAACATGAAGTATTCGTAATTACGCCAACACTGAAAGTAGGCTCGCGTCGCTCACGTCATGTTAGTCGTGGCAACAGAATAATTGTTTTTTAATTTTTGGCCAAACCTGCAAACAATAGATGAAACTTGAACACTTTTAAATACAGAACTATCAATTCCTAAAATATATAAAGAAGTAGTTATATTATTTTGTTTTCCATGCGCTTTATTTCAATGTAAAATTCAAAACGAAACTCTACGTAAAACGTTTTTAAATGAACAGGTGGGAAATTTGTCTGAGCATGCGCGAGTAAAATGAGCCACGCAATTGCGTGGAATACACGCAACGCGTGTTTACAAAAAGGCACAATCGTGTAAATATTGCCAAATGTTTGTACAAAATAAATGACTGTTTTATGTTGAAAGTGGACAGGATCTAAATTAATCATACAGAATTTTTTAGTGACGTTCTATTTCAGTACCCTGCCATTGTCTCTGGTGGGCTGTCCGTGTGCATTCGATCTGAAACAGTTGCTACTTTGCTGTCGAAAAATTTCGAATGTTTACATGAAAATAGAGGCAAGTCATGCATTTTACAACCTCGTAAACTGTATGAGCCCCTATTTTTACGCTTATACCTAAGATATCAAATAAAAGTACATGAAACAGAGAACATTTGTAGAAAGTTTTATCGTGAGGCCACGGCCAGTTTTTAAAATATCTTTATTTCTGTTCCGGTCATCACCAAAATTACACAAAAGCCGGGCTTGGATATACAACAAATTTTGAATCTCATCAAGCACAAAAATATTTAACGTGTAACCAAAATATGCTCATGAAATCGAAATTAAGAGCTAAATTTTCAAACTAGACCCTTCTTGAAGCGGTTTTCATGAAGGAAGTTCACATTTCGGCCTTTGATTCTTGGCAAAAATTTGACCACAACACGTGCGAAGCAACTGGGTCTCAAAGACTCAGCTAAAACATTGTGAGCCCCTATTTTCCTGACGATATGTTTGATACCTACAAACGCCGAAAAGTTTTTTCTTTTCATTTTGCTATATTTGAAATTGAGGCCACGGGCTATTTTTGAGAAAATACAGCTCAAAGTCAAGCTATTTTTACATATTTTCAAAATTTGTCAAATTTCGCGAGCTTGTATTTTGAACTTAGACAGCTGAAGTTACATTAAGAAACATAGGATGGAAAATTTGAGGCATATAAAGTTAATTTCAACTTACATTTCATTCTCATATCACGTCTTTCTTCGTTTATTACGGTTGTAAACAATGCACAGATCGACGTATACTGTATTTACTCCCATGTTCACGTCGCCATATTAACTTTTCCAATCACTGGATTACAAAACAAATCATCCCAAAACAAAGAATTCATGATCGACTTTTAAAAGAATAACCGTTAATTTCTAAATCGTTGAATGGAAAGCAAAAAATCGAGAGCTAAAACAGCTTCTTGCTAACTTTCTGCTTTGTTTTGAATGTAAATGCAATGAGCTTTGTTTCTGCCCGCGATTTTTTGGTCAGCGACGACAAATTTCCCACCTGTTTTTTAAATGTGAATTGAAATTAACTAATTTTTGCCGATATTAAACTCTTCAACTTGAGCTTCAACTTATTACTCGCACTTTGCAATGGAATAAATTTAATTGCTACAGGACGTTAATGAAATAAATTTGTTTTCCTTTTTATCATGAACTTCTACAAACGTTAGTTTAACTAATACACTTTCGCATACAGTGAATAGGAAAGATTTAAACAAAATGAAAAAGTCTATAATAATACAAAGTCATACAGAAAAATTGAAACAAACTTGACCTATACTTCAGGATTTCTGATACTAAATCAATTCTTATCAGTGTTTACGTTTAAAAAGTTGAAAAAATGTTTTACAATTTGTTATGAGAAAAAAGCTTTCTTACATGTATTTTTTATATATTTCATTTCTTCACTCCTGGCAAACAGCCATATTTTGAGATCATTGAGATGACCACCATTCACCATGAGCCAGCGCTATTTGATGAACTTTAGACATCGCTAGTGCGTTCCTTTTCCCGAGTGTAAATAGCCGGAAGGAATTAGTACCCTCGCCCCGGGATTACGCCTGAAACGGCGCTCGCGCCGTTGGCTCGCGCTGGGATGATTTATCACACCATGCACATGTTAAAAGGTCTATTGTATATAGTCGGAGCCTAAGCATCAAGGAGATCTGCTCAAGAGAGGAAGACGCTGATAAACATTTGCAGGAATTGTCCAGTTTGTTGCAAAACAGAGCCTACGCAATGTGGCTTAGTAAGAAAGAATTTGGGAGGTTACAATCTTGTGATACAGTAACAAACAAAAAAGAAAAAATAGGAGTACCTTTGACAATTATGTTTCATCCGCTGTTAAAGAACTGCGCTTTTGTAATCCGTAAATATATGCATCTATTATACTTAGATCCAGAAGAGCAGAAAGTGTTTTTGCCAGAACCATTTGTGCCATTTAATTAAAGCATTGAAGCAATTTAAACATTCGCAATGCGTGTTATATCAGACCTAAAGATACTCGGCTTCGCCTCGTATCTTTATATCTATATCTATATCTATATCTATATCTATATCTATATATATATATATATATATATATATATATATATATATATATATATATATATATATATATATTCATATATATATATATATATATATATATATATATATATATATATATATATATATATATATATATATATATATATATATATATATATATATATATATATATATATATATATATATATATATATATATATATATATATATATATGTATATACGGTGTTATGGCATTCCCCATATGTGGGGAATACCATAACACCGTTCAGATTGCGATTTAATAACCACAAGATTGCATTAAATAGATATGGGCGGGGGCAGAGAAATATTTGTGGGCAACAATTATATGCCCATTTTTGGGGGGGAGGGACATTCAGGTCTAAGTGATTTTTTAGTGCAGGTCATTGACGTCACGGACGTTAATAACCCCACTGAGAGGGAGAGCTTTTGGATTGAGAAACTTAATAGTTATGTCTCACGTGGGCTTAATTTAAGGGAAGAGGTTTAATTAATTTATGTATAGCTAAACGTTAGACTA